CAGCAGTGATGGGCCAGACTCCCGTGTACCCCCCTCAGCAGCCTCAGCAGCCTCAGCAGCCGCCGCAGCCCATGTTCACAGAGGAGGACCTGAAGCAGGTTTGTGAGGGTGGTTGGCGGGTGCTCTCATGTGGTTTGCTCCTTCTGTCCTATCAAACATGTCGCGACCTCAGGGCTCTCTTGTCCCATCTCCATTTTTTTAAATAGTGAAAAATGTGACTTCCTCTTAAGCTCAGTCTTTATTATGAAGTGTTTTCACTGTTATTAAAAATGGAGATAGGAAAGGACAAGAAAACATTGAGGTCGCGATATGTCACCCTTATATATATCTCCTCCATCTTTACTTCGTACATTACTTTTTAGTATGATTTTTAATCTTTAGCACTTCTATAACCTATTTGTTGTTGTAAATGCTGTAAAACTGTCACTAAAACTGAATTTAACAAGTTTGTGTGACCGTTGCAAGTGGTCTGCTTCTTCTTCTTCTTATCATTGTTGTTACTCTTCGTATCTTTTGTAGAGAAAAGTGAACGTGTTTGTCCTACTTCTCCTTAATTTACTCTGGGTAAGTGAGTGGTTGGGGGGTGCTCTGGTGCGGTTTGCTCCTTCTTTCCTATCAAACATCTATCGTCCTTGTCTCTCCTCCTTCCTATTTGTATATGTTACTTTCTTGTAACACATACTGCGTACGCCGTAAAACCCTGTACTACTAACTAACTAACTAACATCTATTCTTTGTCACTTATATGACCTTATTGTGTTGCAAGTGCTGTAAAACTCTAACGAGAAACAGCTTTTTGTTGTTTCTCTGGGTAATGGGCAAGAACAGTGTTTGAACAAGCACAACAATTTGTAGTCCTCCCTCAACCATTCTGTTCTCTCTCTTGCCCTTTTTAACTCCCAGTGGAGCACAGGCCATCAACAACATTACTCCAGCGAAGCCTGTCCTGAGCATCCTTTTCTATCTGTTTGAAGGTCCTCCATCTTCCAGAACTGGCGGTCGTGTTGTTTTTGCTGTTGATGTTTTTGTAGCTGCTTTTGTTTTATGGGAAAGGGCTGCTAACCCTTTGCCCAACCGACCTTAGTCGCCTTCTACGACACGCGCGGTACGGATACAGTGGTCCTATTCTTTGCTCCCCTGTCTCTTGGACAGGGCCCCGAGAACCACACGGGTGAACCATTTTGTTGGGTGTGTCTTATCTTGTCATGCTGTAAATTGATAACGGGTAGATTATTCCCTTTTGAAACTGAATTTTAAGAATATTTTCTATGACCTCCGAGATTTCTCGCCCTTATCCGAGAAGGCTATGTGGTAGGTCCTACCTACCCTAAAATCTGGTGTGTGGCTGAAAGAGACAGCAGTAAGAAGGAGCCAAGGAGTAGGAGTAGAAAGATTCAGGAGCCCAGATTGAGAAGGGGCATTTGCACAAGTGGAGACAAAATCAGAAGACAGAACATGATTAGAGAGCATGAAGGAGGGGAAGGGAAAACACTTTTCCTAGAGAAGTAAATTTTCTGTTACTGTCAGGTTTCAAACCCATGACGACCAATTGAACGAGAGACAATAGCCGTACCTTTAGACAATGAGAGTCTGTGGTTGGCGGGTGCTCTGGTGTGGTTTGCTTCTTCTTTACTGTCAAACATCTATCTTCCTTTTATCTCCCTTCCTTCTTTCTTATGTTTGTTACTCTCTTGTAACACCTCTAATCATTGACACTTATATGACTTTATTGTGTTGCAAGTGCCGTAAAACACTTACTAAATCTAAGACAATGAGAGCCTTCCCCCCCCTCCCCCCCCTCCCCCTGGACATGTTTCTGTAACTTCTGTTTTCCTCCCTCAGGTCAAGGACATGTTTCCCAACATGGAGGAGGAGGTGGTCAAGTCGGTGCTGGAGGCAAACCGAGGCAACAAGGATGCAACCATCAACTCTTTGCTGGCCATGAGCA